CAGAGCTCACCATTTTGCCTGCCACTAGCCCAGGTAAGTGGCCCCTCTGCCCCAAGCCCCTCCCCCAGCCCTTGGTCCCAGTGCTGGAGGGTGAGAGAAAGACCACCGGTCCTACAGCTGTGCCTCCCTGCCCCCAGCACCACCTGGCCAGGCATCACCGCCATGGCCTGCAGCACCCATGGGCGGCCCCTTCACCAGCAGCTCTGGGTTGCCGCATCTAGCCACAGCTAGTCAGCCTGTGTACCCCCCTCCCCCGGCTGATCCTGGGAGTGCTGATGGGGGAGGTGTGCTTGAGCCCTCTTTCCCCCCACCCCTGGATCAGGACCGGGGAGCACCAGCAGGGGAGGCCTGCATGGCTCTCTCCTTTGCCAACTGCCCCCAGACCAGGCCTGGGGTGCTCCAGTGAGAAAGGGCTGTGTGACCCCCTCAGACTCCTCTACCCTTGGCTGGCTCCACCCCCAATCCCTCCAATTCTGGGCCTCTGCTCCAACTCCTGGCCCTGGGATGGCCCCTCAATCATTGGGCTACTCTAGCTCCAGGGAGCACAATAAGGATGTAAAAGACGAGTGGACAAGTCTACTATAGATAAACCTTTGCTTCCTGGATAGTATTTTGACTAGTTGATATAAGATAGAGTCAGCAAAGGGGGAAAGGGTACAGCAGCATGGCCACTTTGAAACCCGCGTGGATCAGCTGTGGGCAGCTGCCCCTTTGAAATGCTGCCTGTGTGCCTTTCAAAGGGGCAGCCTTGGAGCCCAGGCATTTCTCGAAATGGGGAGGCTCCCCATGGCATTTCCTTGGGGACTCCCGAGCTGACCCCAGGCTCCTAGCGGCATGACGTGGAGACTGAGCTCACCAGGGACTGTGAGTCCCACTGGGGACTCCTGTGCATTTAAGAGCAGGTACCTGCATGCAGCTATGCCCCCCCCCCCTTGAAATGTACAAGAGCCCCAGCAGGGTCTCACAGTCCCCCGCTGATCCTGGGCTCCATGCTACAGGGCATGCCGCTAGGAGCAGGGGTTCATGTACATTTCAAAGAAGGAATGCGGAAGTCCCTATGGACTAGTCGATTAACTGAATTTTAACATCCTTAGAGCAGCAGACCTGCGTGCCCCTTCCCCCAGGTTGGACCAGGGTAACACTGGGTAAGTTTTCTGGTTCCACATAAACTACATTTGCATAGTTTGTGTATGAGGCTACCAGGTGGGGTTGTGTGCGAGGCGTTACAACTATCCAGATACATCCCCTCTACCCCCCCACATCCACTGGGCCAGTGACCCTCCCAGAGCAGGCAGCCAGCTTGGCTTGGCCTGATTTATTTCTGGTGATTCCACACTGGCTGCTCTTTGTAACCCTGGTGCTGTATTGGCTCGTCACTGCACAGACCCAGGATTGTCCCTGCGGGTTCAGTCTAATCAGAGGAAGGACACTGACTTCCTCATTTGCATACCCCTCCTTATAAGAGACAGGCACGTTGCTCCTGACAGGAATGTGATTGACTCACTCTAGGGTTCCTGGTGCAGAAGTCGGACCTATCCAGCCTCGGTGTGTGTGCAGCACAGGGCGCGGGAATCCTCCTGACAACTCTGTGCTTTAGGGCCAGGGTATCTACTAGTAGAGCCTCTGACAGGAGAACCTGACTGGTCTGGCCAAAATCTATCAAGAGCAGCACTTCAGCTGCCCCTTCACCCCATGATGCACATCCCCTTCCCTCTGCCTTGGAGCTGCCTCCCCCAACAGAGTCTCCTGCTTGCTGTGTAGGACAGGAGAGGGAGAGCAGGAGGTGCTGATATCAGGGTTCCCACCTCCCACCCTGTATTCTATCTCCACAGAATGAAAGGGGGCACAACAGGATGGAGTCTGCTGGCTGCTTTTCAGAGTGGTGCAGGGCCAGGGCAGGGGTGAGCCTGCTTTAGCCTCACTGCACCACCACCCCGGAGCCACCTGTCCTAAGCAGTGTCCAGCTGGAGCCAGCTCTGAACCCCTGCCCCAGTCATGAATCCCCTTCTGCACCCCAAGTCCCCACCCCCGGCTTAGCTCAGAGTCCATCTCACACTCTAAATCCCTTAGCCCAAAAAGAGATCTTGTGCCCCAACCCTGTGTCCCTCTCTGGTGAAAAGGAGGGAGGATGGGGGAGGGAGGGAGGATGGAGTGAGCCTTTGAGAAGGGGTACAAAGGAGGCGGGGCAGGGTATTTGGGTTTGAGGTGGTACCTGGATTGCATTTAAATTCAAGAAGTGATGTTGTGTTTAAAAGGGTTGGAGACCCCTGGCTTTAGGAACCCTACAGCGACTGTGCTTCCTCATGCAGGGACTTCTCAGGTGAGAAAGAAAGAAAGAAAATCCCTTTATTTGTGCTGACACCCCGGAAACCATCACAGCCGAGGGGCTGGGCACTCGCCCGGCTCTCCCTGCCAGTCCATTCTCTAGTCGGAGGGGAGGGCTGAGGCCGGGCGGTGGGTTCGAGGCCGTAAGTTCTATGGGGAGCCCGGCGCTCCAATAAGGAGCCTCAGCCCCTTGTGTGACTCGAGCCCCCAGCGCGCTCCAGGGCACTGACAGCGGCAGGTGTCCCCCGAGTCCCCATCTGTGTCTCTGACACCGTAACGCAGGGCGGGGTCCGCCGAGCTCAGGCCGAGCTGTTCGTGGATCCGCTGCCCCCTTGTGGTGAACGGGGAAAGGCGGATTCCGCAGCCCGGGTTTTTGTCTGACCACCTGCAGGTTTCGTGTCACTGTGTCCAACACAGTAATAGCGGGCGGTGTCCTCGGGCTTCAGGCCGGTCAGTTGCAGGTGCAGCAGGTTGTTGGGATTGTCCCTGGAGATGGTAACTCGGCCTTTCAGGGAGTCCGCATAGCTCGTGCTGCTCCCATCCTCGCTGATACTAGAGACCCACTCCAGCCCCTTGCCGGGAGCCTGCCGGAACCAGAGCATCCGGAGGCTTTGCAGGAGAGGCGCAGAGAGTCTCCGGGCTTCTTCACATCCCCTCCGGACTCCACCAGCTGCACCTGGGACCGGGCACCTGCGAATAAAGGGATGTTAGAAGAACCGGTAGAAAACCAGCGAGAATTCTCTGGGCTTCCGTCTCTGTCATTGGGTCAGGGGCACAAAATACCTTCCAAAGCCGCTACAGTGAAAACAGCTGCGACCCAAAGTCTCATTGTCCCTGGTGCTGGAGGGGAAAGTTCTCCGGGGACTGGCTGGTCACTGCCCAGACCCAGGGAGCTGCGGATTGTCCCTGCGGGTGCAGCCTGGGCAGAGAGAGGCACCGATTTAAACAGGAACCTCTCTCCCCTATTTGCATGGCCCGCTGCTTATAACGGACCCTCCTTCCCTTAACACTGAATTTCTTGCTCGGGGCTCAGGCTCAGGGCGGAGTCAGACCTTCCCTCTCTATGACTGTGCAGCGCCCAGCCCCCGGGCGGTAGGTTAAAGGGGAGAGAAGCAGCTGCCGGGTGTGAGTCCAGTTCCCTGGTATTGAATTAGAGTCCGATTTTCACGTAGTGATCTTGTCGTGGGGAGGGACTCCGAGGCCCTGTCCGTGCGGACATCGGGGCAGGGGGTCAGTGCCTGGGGAGGGGTCGGGTCACAGGTTTGCATGCGGCTGGGTCTCTCACCGGAGGGTTACAAGTCTCGGGCTGGCGAGCGCGGTGTCCTGCAGCCTTTCCCGAGGTGCGGGCGGGGAATGAGGATTTGGAATCAGTCCAGGGAGTGACCCGGGCTCACACAAACCGCAGGCGAAGGCGGCGAAGGGGAAGCAGCAGGAGTCAGCCAGTGGGGCGGGGATTTGTGCAAAGGGGGCTCGGGGCGGGAGGGTGCGGGACAGTCCAGGCGAGACGCCGCCCCATGTGACCGGCAGAGCGAGCCAGGCTGGATTTGCCCCAGTCACAGTAACGAACAGCAGGAGGGAGGGAAGTTGGGAGGCTGGAAAGTTCTGGGCCGTAGCCAGAGAAGGCCTGTGATTGTGGCAGGTCAGGAGCGGGGCTGGGACCCACAGTGAGGGAGGAGGGGGGGAGCTTTTGTCAGGGGCGTTACACCTTGTGCTGTAACAGTGACAGTCAGACCTCGAGGGTTCAGGAGGTCAAGTAGCGATCAATGCGGCCCAAAGGAATCTCTGAGGTGGGCACATACAGAGGCGCACACAGATATATATAGAATCTAACACTTGCCATCCCCTCCCTGTGTAGCTATAGCCAGGCTCAGATTGAGACAGGCGCCACAGTGGCTGCAGCCCAGAGCCCTGGTATGGGGACGGGGCAGAAAGATCTCTGGGACCCCTTTATCCTGGGGCCCTGGGCTGCATCTACTAACCCCCCATCCGGTTATGGGTCTGGAGCCGCATTACCGGAGCTCAAGGGAAAGCTGCCCTCACCTCCAGGCTCCGCCCCCACAGCTCCCATTGGCTGGGACTCATGGAGTTGTCCCAGAAAGCACCCTATCCCAGCCTCAATCCCCCTCCGCACTGCAAACCCCTTGGCTCAGCCTGGAGCCGTGCCCTGCACCCTACAATCATCACCCCAAGCTCAGTGCAGAGCGTGCACTCCCACTTCGAGCCTTCATCTTCTCCCGTATCCTCTCTCAAGCCAGAGTCCCCTCTTTCTGAATCCCTCATTTTTGCCCCCCCCCCTCCAGCCTAGGGGCTCCTAGAAAACCTAATTGCCCTGGGCCCCTAGAAGAGTTCGTCCGCCACTGTCTGAGCCTGTCACATTCTCACCGTCAGTCCGTGTATCACGTGGTGCACTCGCATTGGAAACTGACTTGTCCAATCAGCGAGCGAGAACATCTGGGCAGGTTACCTGGCTTGATACATAATCCCATCGCCGCGAGTTTTAAAAGCACGTGATGCAAAAGCCGGCAGGAGAGAGGTTCCAGCGCCACCTGCCGGGCCAGCCACACAGTCCGAGGGACGCTAGTTTCACCCAGTATCTGTGGGATGCAGTTCCAGCCTGCGCCGCTATCCTCAGTATCTCCAGAGACAGCTCAGCTCAGGGTAAATCTCTGCGGGCTTCACTTAACCAGCCGCACCTGAGCGAGGACACCTAGGCAAGGAGAAAAAAAGCAAAGACAATATTAACTCCGAATCCAGGGCTCTGTTCCTAGTTCCCCTCTGCCCCACGGGAACTGGGGGCGGCGAGCAGGGCCAGGAAAAGCAGCAGAGGTTCCATTCTCGGGCTCAGGAACTGAGGGAAACTCTCCAGCGGGCAGGTTTGTGTCTGGGCAGGACTGAGGCTCCTAGAGCCAGGCGCTAGTATTTAACTAGGACCCCGGGCAGGGATTTCTATGCAGGGGCACTATAAGCGATGCCAGGGGCTGAGCGCTCATGCGGGTTCCTCGGCAGGGATTTCTATGCAGGGGCGCTATAAGCGATGCCAGCAGCTGAGCGCTCATGCGGGTTCCTCAGGTGAGATTAGGAGCTGTTAGAGGGAGACCTCAGTACTGGAGGAGTCACTGACAGTGTCCATTCGACACTGGGAAGATGAAAATATACAGCCCCCGGCTCAGAGGTTATGCACAATGCCCTCCCCAGCACTGGCTTGGGAGCCAGTGCCCAGCGTGGACGCTGAAGAAGGAGTAACTGGACACAGCACAGATCCGCGAGACAGGCCTACAGGGCTTCCCCCTCCCTAGCCTTGACTGGACCAGCTGAACTTGAGAAAACACAGCTGAAGGGGTGATTTTTTTTCCCCAAGCTATGGAGCCAGTGGTGAGTTACATCCGACAGCAGCTCTCAGAGTGCTTCTATTGCCCCATTACCGTAATCTCTGTAGTGTGTTTGCCCTCAGAGCGCCCTTGTGAGGCAGCGAGGTGCTCTCACCCCGACTTCACACCAGGTTCCCCACGGGTCAGATTTACGCAGGTGCTTCAGTACACAGAGCAGTACCTAAGGGCTGTGCCAAAGAGCCTGCAGGTCAATCGAAATGAAGCGTCTGCTCCTCCCATTTGTGAAATCCGCCAGGGCCAGGCTGTCGGGGATTCGCAGGCTCCTGAAGACACAGACAGCTGCCGCCTGAGGGTCACCAAAGGGACGTGCAGTTCCCAGGCGCTAGACGCCTGGAAACTTCTGGAAATCGCGGCAGGCCCCTCTCTGCGTCCCTGGGTGACCGGACACCTCTAAAGACCTGGCTCTGCGGGACTTGTCTGCAGTCACACAGGGAGACCGCGGTGGGTCAGGGAACCGAATCCAAGCGTGTGAGCCCCAGGCAGGAGCTCTTATCTCCCGTCTCCCAAATACGCACTGGCTGGCGGCAAAGGCGGGCCAAGGGGAAGGGGGAAGGATTCCTCATTCGCACCGAGACACGGAAGACGAGTGAATAGCTCAGCTGCTAGTGGGTCTGTTCTCTGGGTCCGCGCGAGCTGCTGTTTCAACGGGGCGCCCTGAATGAAACATGGCACCGCCCAGCCTGTCTGTCTCCAGCTCAGTGCGTCCTGCCCATCCCCGTCCGTTCCCAGACACATCCAGCGTCTCCGCCTCCTCCTCTGTCTCTTCTCTGGTTTCCTTTTCTGCTCGGGTATGTGACCTCCACGGGCCCAGAGGGACTGTGGCTGCAAAGAGAGGACGTGGCTGGGCAGTGAAAGGGTTAAAGCTTCGCTGCAGGTTTGTGTTTTATTCGCCTGGAGGCGCCTTTTCCGTTCTCTGACCAGCGCCCGGTTGTTCGTGTCTCTGCTGCCCCCGCGTGGCGGCCGCGGGTTCTGCAGCCTGGGTTTTTGCAGGAGCGTCAATAGGTTTCGTGTCGCTGTGTGTCTCGCACAGTAATAGCGGGCGGTGTCCTCGGGCTTCAGGCCGGTCATTTGCAGGTGCAGCAGGTTGTTGGGATTGTCCCTGGAGATGGTGAATCGGCCTTTCACGGCATCAAGGTAGTATGTACTACCGCCATCGTACCTTATATAAGCGACCCACTCCAGCCCCTTCCCGGGAGCCTGCCGGACCCAGCCCATCCAGTGGCTGCTGAAGGTGAAGCCGGAGGCTTTGCAGGAGAGGCGCAGAGAGTCTCCGGGCTTCCTCACATCCCCTCCGGACTCCACCAGCTGCACTTGGGACCAGGCACCTGGGAAGAAACACGCGATACAAACATTAGTATCAAAACTTCAAATACAAACTATCCGTCCCCCTCTCCAGAGTGTTTAGCTAGAAAATACCTGGCAACGCTGCCACCACGAACACTAAATAGACCCACAATTTCATTTTCCCCGCTATTGTAGAGGCCCGTAGCTGCACTGGGGGCTGCGGGGTGTCTCTCCGGGGTGCAGCCTACGAAGGGAGAAACACAGATTTAAGCAGGCACTGATCACCGTCATTTGCATATTCCCCCCATATAAGACACACAAACGCCTTCCCTTAACGAGCCGAGTCACTGCCAGGGAGTCTCCGGCAGAAGGCGTCTTCTCGCCCCTCCCTGTGTGTTTGTGCAGCCAGGGGCAGCCTTAGGCCGATTCTCCCGATCCCCCCGAAAAGGGCTCCGTGCCTAAAGGGGCCTCCCGTGCCCTGAACCCGGCAGTGCGCCGGGCGCTATGGGCGACGAGTTAATACTCAAAGCAGGGGCCCTGCTCCAGCAATAGGTGGAGCTGGCTCTCTCCCCCGGCACTGCCTGGAGCGGCTACCGCCCACCCCCTGCCGGCAGAGCGTTCCCCACAATCCTGGACATTTCCTGCCGTGCGCGGCTCTCAGTGCGGATCCCCCTCGCCAGCGCGCGCTGCTGCTGCCATGCCCGGCGTTTGCAGGTGAGCAGGGAGGGTGCCCGGGCGTGACGTGACGTCAGGGCCTGGGACCTTAAAAGTCCTTGGAGGCACGTTGCGTCGCGTGGCCTGGCTCCGGATTTGGAGTCCGGGGCCCGAGCGCAGACTCCGGACCCGCAAAGTGAAAGTCAGAAGGTAGGGGAGGGGGAAAACTAGGGGGAAGGGGCTTGTGCGGAGGGGGAGGGGAGAAAGAGAGGAAGGCACCAAGAGACAGGGTGGAGGAGAGACAAATGCCAGGGGGCCAAGTTCAGACAATGAGGAAAAAGGCAGGAGGGGAGGTGTCAGTGGGAGGGGGGACAGGGTGATGTTGGGAGAGAAGAGGAGAGGGGAAGGACATTGGGGCTTAGAGGGGGGAGAGGGAGGTGCTGGGAGAAGGCTTGAAAGAAGGGGTGGGCATGAGAAAGGTGGGGATGGAGCAAGTCATGTGTGAGGGCACAGAGGGGCAGGAAGGGAATGGGGCAGAGTGGTGAGAGGCTGGGAATCAGGGAAAAAGAGGGCAAAGGAGGTAGGGGCAGTGAGGGAAGGGGGAGCACCAGGAGGGTGCAGGGCTAAGGGAAGGTGCAGGTGCTGGTACCAGGGGATTCTGGGCGTGAAGCAGAAGGGCAGACAACTGCAGGGAAGGGACCAGCACCAGAGGAGAGATGCAGGGCAGGTGTGTAGAGGGAGGTATTAGAAGAGGGGTAGCTCACATGATCAAAGTGGGGCTACTGGAGGAGTGGGCACAGGGGGAGAGAAGGTCTGGTGGAGGGGGGGAAGTCTCAGGAGGGCTGAGGGCAGTGAGAAGGGCAGGAGTCAGGACAGCAGAGGACGGTGAGGAGTTGAGGGTCAGCAGGCACCAGGGTAGCTGATGGATCAAGGGGAGAAGACATGGCAGCAGAGAGAAAAAGAAAAGGTTTATAAAATATTTATTAATAACTTGGGTGCCACAGTGGCACATCCAAACAAGCCACATGAACTCAGTACAGGTGCACAACACAAAATCCATTCTGCTCATGGGAGGAAACTCTTGGGCTATGTCTACACTGGTGGCTTCTTGCACAATAACATCTTGTGCAAGGATTTGTGTGCAAGAAGTCTTGTGCAAGAACACGACCACACTGCCATGTGTGAGCTGTGCTTATTCACAAGAGCATCCATGGCAGTGTGGGTGCTCTCTTGAGCAAGGAAGCTCCAATCTGGCCTCCGCAACCAACGTGGCAGGGGCTCCTCATCCTAGGCAGCACCTTCAGCTGCCGGCCTCCCTCTCCCCTTCCAGGCTGAAATCCTCCCCTCCCCTCCCCCATTGAGGGAAGCACTTTGTTTTGCTAACAAAAACAATTTATTTTTCTGAATACAGGAGTTTTATAGTTTTGTACCAAATCCACAGTGAAGTAAACTGTAGACATTTTTTTCCAACAACGCCTGTCTCTGTTCTCAGTGTGATTGTGTGCAATCTGAATGTGGGGCCGGACGGGGTTTTGGGGAGGAAGACACTGGGGGAAATCCCACAATTGCAAGGCCCTGGGGACAATCGGCCTCCTTGTGAGAACTGATCCCACTGGGCTTCCCGGATTAGCAATCCTGACTGGTGGGCTTGCTGAATGGCAGCTGTCCAGTGCTGCTCAAAGTGCCTCCCCTCCACATCAGTTCGGGTCCCCCATACAGGGAGAAAGGCCTCCCCTTTCCGCTCCACCAGGTTATGCAGCACACAGCGTGCTGAAACCACATCGGGGATGTTATGTTCTCCATGTCCAGTCGAGTGAGCAGGCATCTAAATCTTCCCTTCAACCGGCCAAAGGTGCACACCACCGAGAAGTGAGCTTGATTCAGGCGGGAGTGAAACAGTTCCCTGCTCACGTATACATGGCCGGTGCAGGGCTTCATGAGCCAGGGAATAAGGGGTAGGCCATGTTGGCCATGATGCATGTTGGCATCTGCACATCCCTGACTGCATAGTTTCTTTCCAGGAAAAATACCCCATCCTGAAGCCTGTGGTACAAGTATGAGTTCTGGACTACGTGGGCATTGTGTGCCTGGCCTGACCACCCAACACAAATGTCTGTGAACTGTTCCCGGTGGTTGACCACTGCCCGCTGCACCATGGAAAAGTCACCCTTTCTATTAATGTACTGTGCTGCTCGATGAGGTGGTGTGCGGATCGGGATGTGAGTCCTGTTGAGTGCTCCACTGCAGTTTGGAAAACCCAGCCCCGCAAATCCAGCCAAGATGGTCTCCTGGTCTCTGAGGTGGACTGTCCAGTGAAGCAGCTCCAAATTGATGGCCGGCACCACCTTCACAAAGGGACAAATACAAACACACATAACAGCACATGAGAGGAGTTGCATGAGCTGGTGAGAGATGCTCTCCCACTCCTTCCCGCCCAGACCCTGAGAGCTCCCCCTCAGGCAATCCCCCCGTGCCTCCCACACCACCATAGGGTGAGGCCAGGCAGGCTTCCACCTCTCCCACCCCATTCCCTATTCCCTGTGCCCGGTCCTGACCGTCCCCCTTCTCCACCTACCCCCGCCCCTCTGGACTGTCCCCTGAGAGTGACTTACCTCCATCAAGATGGCCCAGACAGTAGAGCTCCCCAAGCAAAACTGGTGTCCCACAGAGTGGTAGCTGTCGGGGGTGGCCAGCTTCCAGAGAGTAATAGCGACGCACTTCTCCAGGGGGATGGTGGCTTGCAAGCATGTGTCCTGGCATTGCAGGGCAGGGTGAGCCAGGCACAGAGCTCCTGGAAGGTGTCGTTCCGCATCTGGAAGTTTCAGAGCCACTGCTCATCCTCCCACTGCTGCCTAACAAGCCGGTCCCACCAGTCAGAACTGGTGTCCAGCCTCCAAACTTGCCTCTCCATGTATGAGTTCAGGGGCAACGGCAGTAGGGCTGCAGCTTGAGCGGAGGGCTCAAAGCTGAGCTCTGAATCCAGCTCTGCCCCAATCATCATGATGCTCTCATGAGCATGCAGCAGAACTTCCAGCATGACAGTGTGGGGCCATTGCCTGCCTGGAGGCAGCTCAGGCTCCATGGCCAAAAAAGCACAAAAGTCCAAAGCAAAAAACCCTACCTGAAAATAAATGTCTGTGGTGTCCAATGAAGCAGGGCAACCAGAGCAAAAACTGCAGCAGCTTTTCTTTCCCTCTAGGAGGTAGGCAAGCCAGAAGAAGGAGCAGAGCAACCACTGTCCAGGAGGATCCCTTTAAGCAGGCGTCTCTGCAGAGAGCATGCAGCAGTGCCCGGGCTTTAAGGCTGCCCCGTGCCCTTCCAGAAGCACTTCCAGGTGCCTTCTTTTGTCGACAGAGCATCCTTCAGTCTGAATGCTCTTGGTCGACAAGGCAGATTGCTTTTTCAATCTGTGTTATGCCGTCTAGATGCTCTGTGGACAAAAGCCTGTAGTCTAGACGTGCCCTAGGGGTCTCCCATTCACACGGTGAATCAATGGGAGGCGTTGCCGTGGGATCCTGTGAAGGCCAAAGCTCAATTTGGATTGTAGCAGAATGAGCTAAATGACCAGAGGGAATGAGAAGAGCCGCACTGGGTCAGAACAAAGGACCATCTAGCTCCATGTCCTGCCAGGTGCCCTACGGGGAAAGAACAGAACAGCTAATCACCTCCTGACTCATTCCCTGTCTCCATTCCCAGCTTCTGCTTAGGAAGGATGGAGACATAGTCTCTGCCCATCCTGGATCATGGCCATGGATGGATTTGTCCTCTAGCTTGTTTTCTCTTGAACCCTGGTATTTTATGGTTAGGGAAATCTCAGTCCCTTTGTTCATGGGTCTTCTCTCCCCATGACACTCTGAAGTGCCTCCCCTCCACATCAGTTCGGGTCCCCCATACAGGGAGAAAGGCCTCCCCTTTCCGCTCCACCAGGTTATGCAGCACACAGCGTGCTGAAACCACATCGGGGATGTTATGTTCTCCATGTCCAGTCGAGTGAGCAGGCATCTAAATCTTCCCTTCAACCGGCCAAAGGTGCACACCACCGAGAAGTGAGCTTGATTCAGGCGGGAGTGAAACAGTTCCCTGCTCACGTATACATGGCCGGTGCAGGGCTTCATGAGCCAGGGAATAAGGGGTAGGCCATGTTGGCCATGATGCATGTTGGCATCTGCACATCCCTGACTGCATAGTTTCTTTCCAGGAAAAATACCCCATCCTGAAGCCTGTGGTACAAGTATGAGTTCTGGACTACGTGGGCATTGTGTGCCTGGCCTGACCACCCAACACAAATGTCTGTGAACTGTTCCCGGTGGTTGACCACTGCCCGCTGCACCATGGAAAAGTCACCCTTTCTATTAATGTACTGTGCTGCTCGATGAGGTGGTGTGCGGATCGGGATGTGAGTCCTGTTGAGTGCTCCACTGCAGTTTGGAAAACCCAGCCCCGCAAATCCAGCCAAGATGGTCTCCTGGTCTCTGAGGTGGACTGTCCAGTGAAGCAGCTCCAAATTGATGGCCGGCACCACCTTCACAAAGGGACAAATACAAACACACATAACAGCACATGAGAGGAGTTGCATGAGCTGGTGAGAGATGCTCTCCCACTCCTTCCCGCCCAGACCCTGAGAGCTCCCCCTCAGGCAATCCCCCCGTGCCTCCCACACCACCATAGGGTGAGGCCAGGCAGGCTTCCACCTCTCCCACCCCATTCCCTATTCCCTGTGCCCGGTCCTGACCGTCCCCCTTCTCCACCTACCCCCGCCCCTCTGGACTGTCCCCTGAGAGTGACTTACCTCCATCAAGATGGCCCAGACAGTAGAGCTCCCCAAGCAAAACTGGTGTCCCACAGAGTGGTAGCTGTCGGGGGTGGCCAGCTTCCAGAGAGTAATAGCGACGCACTTCTCCAGGGGGATGGTGGCTTGCAAGCATGTGTCCTGGCATTGCAGGGCAGGGTGAGCCAGGCACAGAGCTCCTGGAAGGTGTCGTTCCGCATCTGGAAGTTTCAGAGCCACTGCTCATCCTCCCACTGCTGCCTAACAAGCCGGTCCCACCAGTCAGAACTGGTGTCCAGCCTCCAAACTTGCCTCTCCATGTATGAGTTCAGGGGCAACGGCAGTAGGGCTGCAGCTTGAGCGGAGGGCTCAAAGCTGAGCTCTGAATCCAGCTCTGCCCCAATCATCATGATGCTCTCATGAGCATGCAGCAGAACTTCCAGCATGACAGTGTGGGGCCATTGCCTGCCTGGAGGCAGCTCAGGCTCCATGGCCAAAAAAGCACAAAAGTCCAAAGCAAAAAACCCTACCTGAAAATAAATGTCTGTGGTGTCCAATGAAGCAGGGCAACCAGAGCAAAAACTGCAGCAGCTTTTCTTTCCCTCTAGGAGGTAGGCAAGCCAGAAGAAGGAGCAGAGCAACCACTGTCCAGGAGGATCCCTTTAAGCAGGCGTCTCTGCAGAGAGCATGCAGCAGTGCCCGGGCTTTAAGGCTGCCCCGTGCCCTTCCAGAAGCACTTCCAGGTGCCTTCTTTTGTCGACAGAGCATCCTTCAGTCTGAATGCTCTTGGTCGACAAGGCAGATTGCTTTTTCAATCTGTGTTATGCCGTCTAGATGCTCTGTGGACAAAAGCCTGTAGTCTAGACGTGCCCTAGGGGTCTCCCATTCACACGGTGAATCAATGGGAGGCGTTGCCGTGGGATCCTGTGAAGGCCAAAGCTCAATTTGGATTGTAGCAGAATGAGCTAAATGACCAGAGGGAATGAGAAGAGCCGCACTGGGTCAGAACAAAGGACCATCTAGCTCCATGTCCTGCCAGGTGCCCTACGGGGAAAGAACAGAACAGCTAATCACCTCCTGACTCATTCCCTGTCTCCATTCCCAGCTTCTGCTTAGGAAGGATGGAGACATAGTCTCTGCCCATCCTGGATCATGGCCATGGATGGATTTGTCCTCTAGCTTGTTTTCTCTTGAACCCTGGTATTTTATGGTTAGGGAAATCTCAGTCCCTTTGTTCATGGGTCTTCTCTCCCCATGACACTCTGAGGCCTTGCTCTTGGGCGGGGGCCTTTGGCTAAGCAGCAGGGGCAGCCAGAAGCCAGGAAATATTTAGCCATTTCCCACACCAACTTCCTGGAAATAAGGAACTTTGGGCTGGGAAAAAGGTGTTTTCTATGAGGAGAAGTGAGCTCATTTCGATGTCTCCCCTACCATTGTAAGAGCAGGTACCTGTCATCTCCCTCATTGTTTGCTGTGTGAAGAGACTTCATTTCCATGTCTCCTCTAACATTGCTAGAGCAGGTGCTTAGGGCTTCTCTTAGACTAGTGACAAAAGAAGTTGGAGGGACTTCAAATACCTTCAGAAGCGACCCATTGAGAGCTCCGGGTGGGTAAATTCGGATTTCTCTTCGAGTAGGTGTGGAAGTGCTGAGGGAAATGGGGGATGGCTTTACTATGGGGTGTGAAGGTTTTGTCTGGGACAATTTGAAAAGCTTCTTTCAAGGTGGACGCCATGGCTTAGCTGGCTAAAGCGCCTGTTTTGTAAATAGGAGATCCTGGGTTCAACTCCCAGTGGTTCCTGGTGGCTTTTGCTCCCATTGTCTAAATGCCCCTCTGGGAAACAAAAGAGCCCTCTGCTGCTAATTGTTTAAGCAGACAAAATCGCGCCCTGGTGGAGCGTTCGGGTACCTGATGGCTGAGATTGAATAAACTTGGATTTACCCCCTAGCCCCGGTCAGTGTAAGTCCAGGGGCAGCAACCCCCCCATTTGTATATGGAAACCGCTTTCCTTTTTGTGCCAGGCCCCTGCTGTGCTCTGTGCCACTGTGAGTCTCTCTGGCGCAGCACTAGGGGGCGCTGTCTGCAGCTGACAGCGAATGGAGCTGCAGGGAGACCTGGTTCCTGGCGCTGTCCACAGAGATCGTGACTTGGCCCTGAAGAGAGATGGGCCGTAGCTTATCTCCCCTCCGTAAGGATATACCCGCCTCGCCCACTCCAGCCCCTTCCCGGGGGCATGCCTTATCCAGTTCCACATGTAAAATTAATAAAAGAAAGTTCTTCTTCACACAGCCCATAGTCAACCTGTGGAACTCCTTGCCAGAGGAGGCGGTGAAGGCTAGGACTATAATAGAGTTTAAAGAGAAGCTAGATAATTTCATGGAGGTTAGGTCCATAAAAGGCTATTAGCCAGGGGATAAAATGGTGTCCTTGGCCTCTGTTTGTCAGAGGCTGGAGAGGGATGGCAGGAGACAAATCGCTTGATCATTGTCTTCGGTCCACCCCCTCTGGGGCACCTGGTGCTGGCCACTGTCGGCAGGCAGGATACTGGGCTAGATGGATCTTTGATCTGACCCAGTACGGCCGTTCTTATGTTCTTATGTACTGGTAGCTCTTGGAGCCTGGGACAGGGGATCCTGACTGGCATGGCCAAAAGCCTATCAAGAGCAGCACTTCAGCTGCCCCTTCCCCCCCTGCTGTACATCCCCTGCCCTTTGCCTTGGAGATGCCTCCCCCTCCAGAGTCTCCTACTTGCTGGGCAGGGCAGGGCAGGGAGAGCAGCGGGTGCTCTTTCAGCACAACAAGCAGAAAGTTTCTGTCCCTGCGTTATGCTCTCCACTGTTGAAAAGCCGCTTCCCCTTTTTGTACCAGTCTCTGTGTTCGCTGTGTCACTGTGTCTCTGGTGCAGTAATAGGTGGCGGTGTCCGCAGCTGTCAGCGAGCGCAGCTGCAGCGAGACCTGGTTCCTGGAGGTGTCCGGTGAGATGGTCACTCGGCCCTGCAGCGCGCTGGGGTACTGAGTGTGCCATCCAGTAGATCTGTAGTAAATGCGCCCCGCCCATTCCAGCCCTTTCCCTGCGGGCTGCCGAGCCCAGTCCCAGGCAACTCCGGTGTTGGAAACTGAGTCTCCCGAGATGGTGCAAGTGACGGTCAGGGACTCCCCGGGCTTCGCCGCTCCCGGGCCCGTTTCCTTCAGCGTCACTTGGGAGAGGACCCCTGGGAGGGAAACACGGAAATGACGCAGTGAGCCAGGCCCTGTCACCTGGGACCATGAAAATTAAATACCTGGAATCCCACACAAGGGAATGAGGCGCCCAACTCCCTCAGAACTACATTGGGATCCGGGCACCTCATCCCCTTGGGCTGCGTCGAACAGCTCCTGTTCTACCTGAGGGATCCTTCCTGTCCCCCAATAGCCACGTACCTGAAGGCGCCTCCAGCAGGAAGAGGAAAATCAGCAGCAGGTTCATCTTCAGTGAAGGCGCCAACTGCACCCAGCAGTCAGGGCCGGGCAGGTCTGTGTCTGGGGGGAGACTGAGGCTCCTCCGGTCAGAGGGTGAATTTAACCAGGACCGGGCGAGGCAGGGATTTGCATGCTGGGTTCCCAGCGTGACTATAAATGAAGAAAGGGGGCGAGCTCTGTCTACAGGTGGGGGCCTCTCCCTAGGACGCTTCCTTCCCCCTCCCTCATCCCACCCGCAGACAGTGAATTCAACTGTGAAACTAACCAAGGTGTTTGGCAGCCCAAACTGAATGTCAATAAATCACTTTGTGCCATTTAATATTCTCAGAGGAAAACAAATATTCTTTTCAATTCTCGGCCACATGTCAGCGCAGAGCGGGGCCTTCTCTGGAATGAAGGAAAATGTGGGGAAGAGAAACTGCCCCCTTCTCCTGCGGCTTTGGTGGGGATTTCACACAAAATCCCTGGAATTCAGAGCCCAAGCGGCAGCAGATATCAGTGGGCTCGGGACTTTAACTCTCTGATCCCATCTCTTCAATGCTGCTCCGTGTCCGGCAGAGATTGACCTTCCTGTGAGCCAGAGCCCAGCTGTCCTGTGCAGCCAGACACGTGCCTAGGGGATAAAGGCTTCGTTCCATCCCACTGGGGGCCATTGCAGACAGCGAGTGTCCGTGACTGTCCCTGCTCCCCGCCCCTTCCATCCCCAGTCGGTGTCTGCTCTACCGGCCCCGGGAGCAATGGCCCCGGCTCACATGCCAGGCAGTATCGGGCCGGCTCTAGGCACCAGCAAATCAAACAGATGCTTGGAGCGGCACATTTCCAGGGGAGGCATTTCCAGGTAAGCAGCGGCCCCGGCAGTGCCCCTGGGACTGAATTTCCAACTTTTCCCCATCAACACGTCCATGTAAAACTCCATATTTTGGTGCTTCGGAGGCATCCCAAGGTCTGACAGAGAAACGTTTGTTGATTTTGTTGCCTCGGGCATAGTCGAGGATCCGGAGCCGTTTTTGCCCATCCAGCTGGATGACTTCGGGGCTGGGGGCGGAGGAGCCCAGGTGCGCCCACTTGACGGAGTCCAGCCTCTGCCCGGGCCACGCGGCTCTCAGGGACTGCAGGGGGAACATGCGGTTGGAGTCGGACACGCAGACCGGGGGTCATCAGGCGGTGACTCCTGGCCGGGCTGCCTGCCTCCTCCGCCCTGCCCATCCGCAGCACCTTCCTCCGGGTGCACAGAAAATCCAGGAGCCAGAGCGTCAGCGCGGGGAGCAGGAAGCGGGGCAGCGGGAGGAAGCAGGCAGCGGCCTGGGCGAGCAGCTGCAAGGTGTGAACGCCGAGGGAGTGGAGCATCGTGAGGGCTGCTGGGCTCCGGCTCTCGCCCCTCCCACACACGCCCGCCTGCCGGGCTCCTTGCAGCTCAGCTGAGCTCCCGCTTCTCTTTAGGCTCATTTTATAGTCAGGGATTTCAATGAAAAGTGACTCCAGCTCCGGCCGGACCCGCCCCCTTGGCACTGGAGCCTGGGGGTTACCTGCCCCTCCCCGCCAGTGAGCTAACAATGCTCGCTCTCGCCCCTTCCACACACGCCCGCCAGCGGAGCTCCCGCTTCTCTTTAGGCTGAGCTAACAATGCTCAGCTGCAAGGGACGTGCCACGGCGCAGGGAGCCAGGACCCGGCCGGGCTCCAGAGGCAGATAGCAGGCCCCACACCCGGCCCGGGACAGGGCAGCACTGAGGGGAGCCCGCAGCGCACGTGTGGGGGCAGCGGGAGTGGTTGCCAGAGGCGCTGCCAGGAGACAAGACCTGGCTGCCTGGAAGCAGGGCCAGGAGCTCCCCGC